GGAAAACCAGCTGGAAACAAAAGATGTGGGTTGAGAAAACTTGAAGTATCAATCGTATCAAATCTTTCAAAACACTAGCTTACTAATACAAGTGAACATTACAAGAGAGGAGTCAGAGTTGAAAATTACCATTATAAAACTGAACAGCTTTTTTTCCTGAAACTTCAAAACCTTTAGAAGATGCAGTATTGGTGCAACTTTTGCTTTAGTTCTATATTTAGAAAAAAAGTTTTTGGGTTTTGCTCAGCATAATCAAAAAAAGTTTGTCGAAGAATTTGTTTCTGTCAGATTTTTTCAGCAAAAGTTAGTCAAGGGATTTTTAACGAGTAGGCCAGCTACCGAAGAATTCCGATAAGTATTTCGCTAACTAAATAGAGGAACAAAGAGGCCTGAATGCATTGTAACTCATCTTGTTTTCGCTTTTTCCTCTATTTTTTAGCCCGTTTCTTTCTTCAAGTTTTTAGTGTTTCTTTTTAAAAACTTTTTTAGTCGGCAGACAGGGAAACTTAGTACACTTTAGAGATATAGTACGTTTATCACGCTGCATTACTCTTGAATTTTTGGCTCTTTCAGGTATTACTTGATGGTTGTTCTCGTTTGGAAAGATTATGTCTGGAGGATCTATGCCTGCGGTCACCGAACGTTAAAGAGTTGCGACTGAATGGCTGTTTCCGCATTTCTGATGAAAACATAAAGTTTGCTCTTCTCACATTTTAATAAAATTCATCAAAATTCTGCAAATGTTTATTGAAGTTAGAAAGAAAAAAAATAGTTTTTTTGGGCAGTCATTATTAGAAAACACATAGCTGGATTTACCGTGAATTTATAACTCAGAAAACGAAATTTACTGCTTTTTAGTTCAATTACTCGCTGCATGTCCAACTTGGAGAAATTTTCGCTTTGTGGTGATAATTTTACGATGATCACCTCATCGGGGCTTGTAGCTTTATCACAGCTCACAAACCTTTCCGAACTAATGTATGAAGTTCAAAAAATTTTTTCGCTTACGTTTTTGTTGCACTGTCTAATTTATTTGATTTTATTCTTGATTCAGGCTTGACCATAACTCAGCAGTTTCAAACGAATTGCTCGAAGCTCTTTTTGTTCCTTCATCTCGTTTACGGAAACTAAGCATTGCCTATGCTGGTTGTAGTGTTGCACTGACCGAGTCATCTTTAACAAGAATTGGCAAACTACAATTTTTAGAAGATGTACAAAGAAAATTTCTTTATCATTTTCAGCTGTACGAAAGTTTCGTAAAATTGCTTTCTTTTATCAAACCAGTATTTGTATTTGAATTTTTTGCACAGCTTATATCGTTGGTGAATCTGATTCATGTCTATGTTCAGGTCGACCTTAGCGCTTTAACAGCTGTAACAAATGCAGTCGTTTCTGAGATTGGCTCTAAATGCTTGGCAGTTCGAAAACTAAAGTTATGTGGCTGCACTTGTTTAGAAGACCAAGGAGTATGTTCGCTTAAGAACCTTCGCAAACTTGAACTGCTCGACATCACTGGCTGTATAATGGTATTTATGAATCTCTTCTGAAGGAATTTCATCTAAAATATATGTGGTAGCTCACTTGCTTTCAAAATTACCTTTTCGATTTTTCAACTCTTCTGGTTAAGTTTTTTGGTGATTTTTTGGTAAAGACTGCTATAACTTTTTCCACATTTGCTTTCAGGTTACAAATCTAGGTGTTCAGCCTCTCTTAGACTGTTTTCCTGCAACTGAAAATGATTTACGGCAGGTACAAATTGCTTTAAAAGTAGCAAATTCTGCGAAAGCGTTACTGCAGTTCACGTAGTTTCATTAACGATTCTGTAGCGTATTTGGCCCATGACTTTTTCCCAATTTCAAAATTTGATTTGTATAATTTCAAAAGGAGTGAAAATTTTTTGATCTACAGAAAAAAAATAAAGTAGAATAGACAGATATTTTTTCTTGTCAGCTTATTTTTAATTCTAAGCACAGTACAGATTTATTTAGAAAAATGTTCCTCTAAAACCTGTAACCATTGTAATTGTTGGGACTTTGTGTCAAGTTAGCGGGCTTCAGACATTTAACAGCCGAGTTTTGTTAAAATTTAGTGATTACAATCAACATCAGCCTCCAGGCCTTTATAGTAAAAAAACAGGTTGGTTTGAAATAAGTAAAAATGAATTATTTTTATTTGTTAAACATGCATGACTAAAAAAAAATTTTTTTTGGAGTGTCTTGGTTTAAGCATTAAAAGCAGATGAATTTTAGATTACATTAGCGAAAAAAATAGAAAAGTTTTGGGAATTGGATATACGGTACTGGATACTCAAGGTAAGTATAACCTAAATCTAAATTAAAATTACAAAAAAATCTGTTGCGTAAAAAATAACAAAGTACATGAACCTTTTGTCTACTCCTATTTCAAACCTGATTTATTTCTTCGTTTGAACAGGCATTTTAAAAATTTTCAAATTTGCCATTTACAAATTCGATTAATTTTCTGTAAGCGTTTTTTATTACTTAATGTTTCGATTCCTCTGCTGCTTCTGATTTTCTTTTATGTGAACAAACAAAAAACGGTTATATAGTTATTAAAATCAGGTTCTTCCGTATTATTTACTAATGTAATATGTAACATTTCCTTGATTGCTTTCAGGTCATTTTGCTGTTGGGGAGTGAGAGGAGAGAGGATAAACTTATTTTGTTTGGGAACAGCGGACCAAAGTACGTTTAATACTCTTTTCAGAGTTATAGACTTTTAAAGTAGCCACAAAAAATGTTTGCTTAACTCTTTTGATCTGAAAATTAGCGCTTCTGTAATTCACCATCGCATTTCAAACGTAAATATAAATGTCTAAATGTTATTCAAGTTGCTCTGAACCCTCCAAATAGCATGTTTAAATTAATTTTTTTTGATACAAACCCTTGTAACAGTTAATTCTGATAGGCAAAAGGCGTCCAGCAAAAGACCACATTTAAAAAGTCAACCAAAATATAGTAATAAAATCATATCGCACTGTAATTTCAAAAATTCAAACATTTGATAATGAGGCTTTTAAAATACAAAAAGCTTCTGGTATTCTTTTTTTGAAGAAGAAAGACAAAGCTAATGCTTCGTCACTGCAACTTCTTGGATCCTAACAGTCAGTAGATTATTGGTTTTCCAAACTTTTCAGTCTTTCTCGCTTTATCTATTTTCACAGCATTGCCGACTAAACAGCAGTCAGTAATTGGATAGTTTTATATGGCCCACTCTGTGTAGCTTCAAATTTCTTATATTCGGTCACACTTGATTTTCAGATCTAATCTTTATATCCAGCTCAAAATTTCCTGCCATGAACTTTCGAAATCGTTGGTGAATAGTCAGGACGTGAATATATACCACTTCTACACCGACATTTATAGTCAATTCTGTTTACATTAGGTTGCATTAATTTCCACTGGAGTTTTAGACAACTGAGCATGTTTAACCGGCGATAAATCAGAACTAAAAACAACGTTTATTGCAATATTTTGCCAGTCTTGTATTTTGATCTTATAGCGTTTACAAAAAATTTAACTGTTTTTTTTTCAGACGCGGAAACGAAGTTTTTGTTTTTCAACTAAAAGTGAGAAGAATTATGGTATAGAGGTCTAAAAAGAAAACCTTTTACTTTCTATTTTATTATATAAAATATTCTGGCGATAAATATAAGTAAATACACCTGTGAAACACTCTTGTTATGTCCATAGAACAAGTTAAACTGATTTTTTGAGAACTCTCATTTCAGAGTTCCATGAAGGTTTATCCCTAACCTGACAAAAGCTATATATTCATGCCAAGTCTGGCTGTTGGTGCCACGCTTTTTGCGTTAAATTACAGCTGTGAATCGGATAGGTACATCATTATGACCCTTTTCTGCATTTGTAAACGGATAAGTTAAGCTACGATTCTCTTATACAACTTGTAGAAACCAAACTGGAAGGTTTTGAAAACAGAAAAAAAAAGTTATATTTTTTGATGACAAAAAACTTCCTAATTTTTATTGATACTGAAAGGGTCTAAAATTTTCAGTAAAGGAAGGTAGCCTCTACCGGAAGATAGTTAAAAGCCGTAGGTTCTTGAAGAGACTTGTGCCCTTCTCAGTAATAAAATCTTCTTGTTTCTCAAAAACGAGTAAGGCTGAATGTCGCTCCATTTGCAGTTCATTCCGAACCACTGTTCTGCCGGTCAGTAAACATAGACCCGAGCAGTTTATTGAAACCCTATCAAATTTTTTCTAAACAAGGTTGCTTTCATATGAGGCATTTTCAAATTCATTTCAGGAAAATTTAAACAGCTGTTTATACCAATTTTTATCTGCTTTGGAGAGACCGTTTGTTGCTTTTTGCTTTCTTAGCTTGTAACTTTACATGATTGACGACTACGAAGCAGAGTTATAAGTACTCAACTTCACGGTTATGATCAGAATTTTTGAGTTCCGTGTTTCTTCACATGTCGTATAATGTTGAATAAACCAAAAGAAATGCATTAGTGACACGACTTATGAGGGCATTGCTCACTGATTAACTTCTGGATGATCACAGAAGAGTTGGCTTACTGTTACAGGGTATTTATTTCTCAGAGGTTTAGAACAGAAAAAACTTAAAAATAA